GAAAAAAAATAGACAAAAATGCCACCAAGGTGGCGAAAGACTATGAAAAGACTAAAAGCAAAATCAAACAAGTGATTGTCTACTTTTTCAATGCCCAGTCATTCCAATAAACTACACAATCAAATCGAACAAAATGAAGCAAATCAGCCTACAACCAACTGTGAAAAAGTGCACTGTACAGTTTTGTACTAATTTAAAATGTGAAGTTATTTCAAAATCGGTAAACGTCATTTTCAAATCATCTCCATTGTCATCGCATCACTGCATGAGCACTCACCAGTGATTGATGGCAATGCGCTTTCGCCAGGCCAACACCTGCTGCATCGTCTTCACCGCCTGTTCGACGCTGGTCGGCTCCCACTTTAGAAAGCGGCGAATGAACCAGTCGTCCGCCTTCAACTGCTCAAGGTCGGCTGGCTCATAAGAAAAAGGCTGGGGACTAGATTTTGAATTCAGAGATTCAGTAGAACTGTGGGAGTTTTCAGGAGAATCATTTTCAGCGCCGAGCAGGGTGAGAAGACGCCCTCGAACGGCGCCCACAAATGCGTCATCAAAGTAGTGCTCCGGTTGCTTTTTGGGAATGCTGCTGATTGGAGATGGCATTTTGTTTTTTGTTTTGAATGATTTAAATTTTATAATGTTGTTTGAAAATTTTAAAAAAGTTTTCTTTTGTAAAGGTTGAGATTGTTGAGATTGATAACCGTTTTTTGTGAAAAGGGTATTTTTAATAGGTAAAAAATATCGTTGTTTGCCAATATTTGTAGCAAATTAATTTTTTTAAATTAGAAAAATTTGAGTTTTGTAAACTTGAGATTTTAACCAAAAAAGTTGTAGGCTGCTGTGTTGTAGTGTTGAAGTGACGGTTGCTAAATGTCAAATGTGAACAGTTGTGTTTAATGTTTGTAGCTCAAAAAATAGTAGCAAAAGTGTTGTGCAAAAGGTGATGAAAAAGTTAATTATGTAAAAAAGAGGTGGTAAATGATGAAATGAGTGCAATGTGTGTAGATCTAAATAAATAAATCAAAAACAACGATGAAAACAGCCGCTAATTTGGAAAATTTGTGACAGTCGTGGTACTTTTTAAAAACTTTCTTGCACTGAGGAGTTTGATTGATTGTGACGTGTGTGTGCGAGCGCGTAAAAGTGGTTGCTAAATTGAATTGATTTGCTCAGATCTGCTCAGCTTCAAACACAAAATTTAAATTTAAATCAAAAATAGCAGCAACCGCTGCAGATGAAAACAAGATCAGCAACGCAAATAAAGGCAAATTAAATCAAATCAAGTGCAAAAAGCAGCAGCACTCGGATGAAATTAGATTGAAAACATCTTGGAAAGCTCTTTTTGAAGCCACTCTTTTCCTTTGACCACCGGTGAACAAAATAAAAAGAAAAGTGGTAAATCCAAGCTTGTGCAGGCTTCGGTGGTAAATTGAGCACAGTGTTAAACTTGCTCTCTCCGGCGCACACTTCAAATTAAGATCACTTTGAAGGCAAAGGAAAGAGAAAAGGAAAGAACAGGACTACGGAGCTATTTAAAGCTCACCGAGTACCAATTTGAGGGGTAAAAGAAGAACAGACGGTTTTTCCAGCTTTTCAGTTGAAGTCAAGCTGAGTGAGCTGGACAGGACTCAGGCAGCAAACGAGAATAACCGGAACAAACTGGCTGAAAAAACGACGGCAGCAGCGGTCATCTCTCGGTCAGACACAGTCTCGCTCGAATAACCGGATAAACGAAAAATTGCACTTAGAGCACTAAACTTGAAACGGTGAAAAAACGGTGATGGTGAGCAAAAGTGAAACAGCATCAGACTGAAGCATTTGTGTTGTTGACTTTGGCAACAGCAGCAGGCTGACCAACTCATAAACTGACTAACTAAACTGAAAAGTTGAGGCGAGAAAAGCAAGCAAGCAAGCAAGTGCAATTCACAAAAGAGTTGAGGTGGCAATAGTTTGAACAAAAAAACTTCAGGTAAAGATGCGGAGAGAGAGAGAGTGAGGTAAAGATGAGAAAGAGAAACTCTCTTTTATAAAGAGTAAGAGGACTGTTGAATCTTGCAAGTTGATTAGCCAGATAATGTTACCTTGTCCAGCAGAAGCAACAGTATTGTCTTACACACATAGACACAGACATCGACATTGGCAACACAGTAAATTGGTAATGACTTCCAGTGATCATCAATTTATTGTTGCCTTTCCTGTGAAATCAATTTCACACACGTGCGTTCCAAGATCGAAAAAAGAACGGTATTGTATTGCCTAATTTAAAACAAGTGAAGTGGAGTGACGTGAAGAAAAAGATAGACAATGATAGAAATAGTTGGAAACCTTTTTTGTCATGTGAAATTAAAGAAAAATTGTAACTTTAATTTAAGTTTAATTTATAAAAGTTAGAAAACAGAATTAAAAGTAACCTTTTAAACGAAGGCGTTNTATTGTTGCCTTTCCTGTGAAATCAATTTCACACACGTGCGTTCCAAGATAAAAAAAAGAACGGTATTGTATTGCCTAATTTAAAACAAGTGAAGTGGAGTGACGTGAAGAAAAAGATAGACAATGATAGAAATAGTTGGAAACCTTTTTTGTCATGTGAAATTAAAGAAAAATTGTAACTTTAATTTAAGTTTAATTTATAAAAGTTAGAAAACAGAATTAAAAGTAACCTTTTAAACGAAGGCGTTTGGTTAGACAGAAAAAAAATTAAAAATTAGTTTTTAGTGCAATAAAAAAATTAGTGAAACGATAAGAAAATGTGCAAGCAAAAAAAATTGTAATATAACACACTCAATTGCTGTGTTGTAATAAGGTGACCACAAGCGGGGCCAAAAATGCAAATATTTAGCAGCAAAAACGAAGAAAGCGCAAGAGCACACATTTACTTAAAAACTGGCGCACACTTTTGACTTTTGAGCAATTTCTCCAGCTTTCACTTAGGCAGTCAAAAAGAAGTAAAGTTGTCAAGAAGTGTGACAATGGCACTAGCATTTTTTACCACATAATTTAGACAAAAAATGGGTAAACAGAAGCAAAAGAAAAAACTATTAAAAATAAACTATTGTAAATATTAAAAAATATTTTAAAATTGAAAAACCGATTTAAGTTCAACTTCATCTAAAACGTGGACCGTCAATTTCAGTGTGATCACTCACCTTCTCTTGAACTTGACATTACCGGAGTGCACTGCACATTCAAAATCTAAAATGGTTCTTATCAGCAATCAATGTGGTAGTGCTCAAAATAGCTTTGAAGTGATACTCTAACCACCTTATCATCACCATCATCATCATCGTTTGTTGAAATACCTTTAACTTCAACTTTGCTGCTCTGATTGCAATCTAGTCTGATTAAAAAAATGTACTTTTTCTGAAAAGAAGTTTAGATGATGGAATGAGATTAAAATTATTCTAAAAACTACAAAAATGTGGGAAATTATTCTATTTTTAGTGATAACCTTTTCAACTATGCCAGACACGTCACATACCAGNGCAGTGCTCAAAATAGCTTTGAAGTGATACTCTTACCACCTTATAACCACCATCATCGTTTGTTGAACTACCTTCAACTTCAATTTTGCTGCCCTGATTGCAATCTAGTCTGATTAAAAAAATTGTACTTTTTTTGAAAAGAAGTTTAGATGATGAAATGAGATTAAAATTATTCTAAAAACTACAAAAAAGTGGGAAATTATTCTATTTTTAGTGATAACCTTTTCAACTATGCCAGACACGTCACATACCGAAAAATTCTTTTTTAAAAGTTTTGCTGAATACTTTAAAAAACTTAAAAATATGCAAAATAATTTAAACAAACCAATTTTTACAACATAACATTATTGCAAATAAACCGCCTGCACAACTCAGAGTGAAAATAATACAAACAAAAACTTGAGTAATCGAAATACCGTTTAGACAGTGTGAATGCCAATCGATGAAACACAGTGAACCTGTTAGTTAGTTGGTCGTGGGATAAACCGCCTGTAGAAAGAGATAAAAGAACGTAAAGAGAACAGGCAAAAAGTTGAGAAAAAGAGAAAGAAACATCCGTAGAACACATCACATCACACTTTCCAGCTGCTCACATCGTGCAACGAACTGACCACGAGAGATGACCCGGAAGCAGCAGCTTTGACATGATCCTGACATTAGCATGAAAATGAAGATGAACACGGGGATGACAATGGCCATCAAAAGTACACGGTCTTTTGGGAGAAAGAAGGAAAGAGAAAGTGAGGATAATTGGCAGATTGTTCCGCACCCTGTTCCCTCTTCTCACTTCAGTTCAGCACACACACACTCATTCACTCATTCAAGTGTGTTTCATTCATTCATTCATTGAAGTAGTTAACCGCCATTGACCGTGAGCCAGCCAGTGTCAAGTGCAAGAGCAAGAGTAGTGTAATGAACATAATTTCACTTTCATTAAGAAGAAAAAGGAGAAGGAGAAAGAAGAGGGATTGCAGTGCTATTTCACAGGGCAAAAACAGGCAAGGGAGGGAGAGAGGGGGACATTTGCAACAACAAAACAAAACAAACAGGTGAAAAGGAGACAATATTCAAACATCGAATTGGGAAAAAAGAGAGTTGATCATCCAACTAAGCGATCCCCAGTCGAGCATAGGCGGTGGCGAGAAGTTCACTTCCGGTACCACCTCCACCTGCTCCTCTATTTTTTCCACCGGAAGACTCCCACCAGCTTTGAAGCTCCTTTCGGGCGGCTTTACTGCTGACTGCCAGCTTCAAAGCCGTGGAAGACAGCTGAGCTGCTGAAGAAGAAGAAGAACTACTGCTAGGCTGAGAGCAAGAAGTTTTCATGGTATAAGGTGGAGATGAAGCCGAAGTGGAAGACCAAGATGAGGTAGATGAGGTAGATGAGTTTGTTGAAGAGCTGTTACTGCTGCTACCACGGCCGCTGTCGTGATCACTTCCAACTGAAAATGTGCTCATCGAAAGCGGAGGAGGCGAACTTTCCCTCTTAAAAAAAGTGGGACTTTGGGAGTTCATCACCTTCAGTTGCGAATCAGCAGCGCTGGTGCCAGGCCTAAGCATCAGCTTCTTCTCCTCCGCCATCTTCACATCCTCCTCCGAGGTGATCGAATCTTCCGAATACCCCTCCTCACCACCACCCTCATCCGTCCCCTCATCTTCCTCCTCCTCCTCATCATTTTCACCCTCAAACTCATCCGAGTCTTCGTCCTCTTCATCCTCATCAGTTGGAAGACGGCGACTTTTCCTGCGGAACTTTTCCGCCTTATTGAGGGCAATCCACTGTCGCTTCTTCTCCTCTCGATAGGCGTCCCACTTCGGGTCCGGCAGTAAGCGCGGCGTAAAGTCCGCCTCCTTGAAGGTCTCCAGCACTTCGAGGAGGCCCTTCTCGAACATCTTCTCGTAGTCCTCGTGCACCCACAAGTACCAGACCTTGCGGCAGACAAACTCCCGCCCCTTCCCATCTACAGTCACCTGTTCACCCTCTTCCGCTTCCTCTTCCGGTCCCAGCTCCACCTCTTCCTCCTCTTCACGGGCAATCAGCGACCAGCAAACGGGCTCCAGGGAGTGGGCGTAGCCGGCGGGCACCGTCATCTTGCGAATGTAGCTTCGACTTAGGTCGCGCACTTTGGGGGCCTCTTCGCATTCAGGGTAAAAGTTGAGGATGGCCGGGTCGACCATCTTCGCCTTCTTCTTCCGCTTTTCCTTGGCAGCTCGCTTCGCCTTGATCCGCTCCAGCGCTTCCGGTGTCACCGAGGAGAGCACCTCGTCAAAAAAGCGCTCCAGGGCGTCCTTGGAGCGCAGTAGGGTGAGCCGAGGCGGGACGAGGCCCTCGGCGGCGACCAGGTCCTCCAAAGAGGTAATCGGCGGCCGATTAGGGTTCGCCCGGTTGATGGCCGCAAAGGCGGACTCAAATTTGGCCGCGTAGGCTTCGGATTTGCTGGGAGAGAAAGTTGGCCTTTTAGACGGTGAGGAAGAAGAAGTTGAAGAAGAAGAAGAAGTTGTAGAAGTTGAAAAAGTAGAAGTCGGCCGCTGCTTTTCAGGCGAGTTTTTGGAGGTAGAGGGAGGTAAACTGGAACTTACGACTTTATCCGGGGAAGCTTTCAGAGGTGGTGATCTTTGAGGCGGCTCTCTAGCTTTTGTTTTAGCAGCAGCTGAAGTGGCAGTTTTGGAAGCTTCGATGACCTCCACTTCTTCCTCCTCCTCATCATCCTCTTTTTCAACCGAAGCCGTCCTTGTTACCGTCGCCGATGGCTCCTCTTTTCTCTTTTTCGAAAGTTGAGAAACCTCAACCTCCTCTTTTTCCTCCTCTTCTTCCTTCTCCTCCTCATCCGAAATCACAATCTCCCCCTCCTCCTCCTCTTCAGAAAGACCCAACTTCTGGAGCTCCTGCGCTCGCAGCAGCCGCTTCCGCTGTGCGGCCAACAGCCGCCGGTGCATGACCATCATCTTCGTGGGCGGCGGCCGGCGAAAGGGCGGCCGGTAGGGCGCGTAGCCGACCAGGTGGCGAATGTCCTCCAGGCTAAGCTCTTGCACCGGCCAGCCGTGGGCGGCGAGACGCATGCGCTCCCAGAAAGCCTTTCTGGGGGGCGTCAGGCGGCTCTTGGCGGCCAGTTCCGGCGAAATCGGCGGCAGGAGGGCGCGCAGGAGCGCCTGCGAGGCGGTGGAGACAAAGTGAGGGTCGTCGTCGTCGTCATCGTATTCCTCCCCTTTGTATTTTCCTGCTTCTGTAGTCGAGGTGGAAGCAGCCAAAGTCGAAGTCGAAGAAGTCCTCCGGAGTGCCGCCGCCGCCGCTCTCCAAGACGAGGCGGAAGAGGAAGAAGTCGAAGTTGAAGGAGGAGCACGCGAAATAGACGCAAACTTTTCCCGTGCCCTCCTTCTCTTGTCGTTGATCAGCGCCCTCCGTGCAAACGCTGAAATAGGCTTAATAAGGGAAGTTGAAGATGAGGCTGAAGATGAAGCGGAAGTTGATGACGTTAATGGTACTGGTGGTGGTCGCTGCGAACGCTTCTCGACAGGCGGCAGCGGCGGCTGCCAGTTTTTAGGCGGAGGGCCGTAGTTTCTTCTGGTGGGCGTGGCGGCCAGTATCGAGGCCAGTGCGGAAGAAGAGGACGACGACGAGGAGATGGGCTCCTCATGAGCAACTAAGGGAATCTAAAGAAAACAAATTATAAGGTTAAGGTTTCAAAAAAATCAAAAAGTGAAAAAAGTCCACTACAAAATCCTTAAAAATTTAATAAAAAAGTTACTTACATTTTGCCCGGGCGTGTCCCTCAACATGACGCGATCGATGAGGTGCTTCTTGCGCTCGTGCCACTCCTTATCCTGCTCGTTAGTGCTAGTGCTAGTGCTAGGGCTGCTTTTCGCCATAAGAATCTCGTGCAGGGTGGGCGGTGGCCTGAGCAGACTTTGCTGTTGCTGCTGATTCCTAATGTGAAGTTTGGTCCGAATCGGAGGAAGGTCGGCTGGCATGCCCGAGGTTAAGCTCCTTTTTCTTTGCGGTTGAGGGGAAGGGGTGGGCAGCTCCTGAACTTCATCACCCTCATCACCATCACCCACTTCCTCCTCGAGGACCACCTCCACGGGCAGCGGCTCTCCCGAGCCTTCCAGCTCCTCCTCCTCCTCCTCTTCAATCACCTCCACCACCTCCACCAGCTCGCCGTCCACCGTCATGAAGACCTTTTCCTGTTCCTGCTGCTGTCCCGGCTCCTGCCCCTGCTCCAGCTGCCGCTTCGCCGCTGCCTCCATCGCCGCTAGGCGGCGCTGCTTGGCGAGCACCTGCTGGCGACTGCGGAGCGCCGCCTCGCGGCGTTTCCGTTCCGCATGGTACTCCTTGTACTCGCGGAGGCGGTTCATCTCGGCGGGCGTCAGCAGGCGGGTGCTGCTGCCCGTCTCGCTGAAGGTCTCCGGAATCGGCGGCGGTTGTTGTTGATGAGGAGGAGGAGGAGGGGAAGGAGTCGGTACAGGCGGCGGATGAAGAGGATATCTTTGAGTTAGCCTCAAATTAGAAGAGTTCTGGTTCAGGCTGCTGCTGTTGCTGTTGATCCGCTGCTGTAGAGTGAAGGTGGCTCGCTGCTGCTGCTGTTGCTGCTGCTCCGCCCGCCACCGACGCCGCTGGGCCTGCCACTCTTGCTGGCGAAGCTGCATTTTCTGCCGCTGGCGCTGCATCAGCCGCTGGTGCCTCTGCTGCTCGGTGAGGGTGTTCAGCCGCCGCATGAACTCCTCCGTGGAGAGGTTCTGAATTGGGTGGTGTGTCGTCGAGGAAGTGGAAGGGGAAGCTGTTGTCGAAGTGGCCGTCGCTGATGATGATGATGAAGATGATGAAGAGGAAGATGGTAAATTTAAAGTAGAAGAATGTCCATTCTCCATCGGCCTGTTCAGTTCCGGTTTAGAAGGAGAAGACCCGGTCGCTGAGGTGATGGCCTTGGGAACGACCACAAAGCTGCCCGAACCGCCGCTCGTTCTCTGAAAAGCGAGTTTCTGCTGCTGCTGCACATCTTCAGGACTTCTCCCTGTTCCTTCAGTCTTCGAGGAAGGTCCCGGTCCTTGCAGCTCGCCATTGGCGGAGGGCGTGACAGCGGCAAAGACCCGACCCGAGCCGAGGGGACGAAGGACGATGGGCGTGGTGAGCATCTGCATCAGGGTGGCGTCTGAAATTGCTGTGCTGGTGGTGGTGGAGGAGGAAGTGCCCTCTGAGGTAGAAGAATCCAAAGTAGTGGATGCAGTTCCAGCCCAGACAATGTTCTTCTTGCTGAGATGGCCATTGGGAATTGAAGAGGTGGCCGTCGTCACCGGAGTCAAGCAGACGACTTCGTCAGTGTCGGCCATCTTTTTTAAAAATCCTAAAAAGTCCTTCTAAAAGATGATGAAAGTTGAACAAAGTTGCAGATTTTGTTGTAAACAGTAAATCACTGAGTTTAGTGAGCAACGTTGTTGTAACAACAGAGCAATAGATGCAAACGTTTTGGAAACGTGTTCAGCGGAAGAGCGTCACTCAGAGGGAAAAGAGGAGGCGGCCAATGGGGTGGAAATAGGCGACGCAGGAAATTTTATCAGATGGTTTTGCGATTTGACTTCCTGTTCACTTTTTCACTTTCGAAATGGGTTTTGAGAAAACTTCTCAAACGAGCAAAAGAAAAGAAGTGCTTCCCTTTTTGTCGCAGCCAGTGAACAGGTAGTAGAGACTGGTTCTAGTTTGTTACTGTTGCCCAATCTCCTCTTTTCCTTTCCTCTTTATTTGCAGTGTCTTTCTCGGAGGTTCCACACAAAAAGAGCGGAAACGAGGACGTTCACTTTCCTTCTTCTTTCACAACTACTTTTGCCTATCTTCCGTCTATCAGTCTTTCACTTCTTTGGCAGCAGCTGGAGCAGCTGTCAGTGCACTGCAGCCCTGCGACTGCTGTGTTAGTCGCTGTTTGTAATAAACGTCTCTCAGCGATGACGACGGTGGCCAGATTCAACTGACGAGGAGAAGAAAAAGAAAAAATGGGCAGTTGTGGAAATAGCCCGCGCTTGTGTTTTTGTAGCTTGGCTTCGCACGCGTAGCAGAGAAGCGACGACCGTTTTCTCTATATTGAGCAATTTTCTGGCACGCCTTCAAAACAACTGAAAAAGTGGAAATTGTCAGTTTTTCCTTGCTCTATTGACCGGAAGTACTTACAGAATTTGGGCAGTAGAAGGGCTAGCTGGGGTGAACATTAGGGTTCGGAGGTTTTAGAGGTTGATGATATCACAGTTGAAGTTGAGTTGGGCTAGGTGAGCCAGCTGAAAGTGGCCGCTTTACACACAGCGTTTTTTGCGTTGCGCCGTTTGTGACGTTGCTCGCGTGTGTGTGTGCTGAGGAGCAGGAAGGGAACTCCAAATCAGCGTGACGGCCTTTTGAGAGGGCGCTTGACAGCGGAACTATTCACAAAGTGCGTTAACACTTATTTAGAAGTAGATCCGGAATTAAAGAATTATAGAATGGTCTAGAGCTTAAGTGGACAGAGTTCAGTCTTAAATGAGACATTTTTTTAGTTTTATTTTTTCTCTTGAATAGGCTGATACTTAAATTTCAATTGATAGAGGTGAACCTTTAGGGGAAAGGGAAGGGCTTAATAAATTGATCGTTGAAAGAGTGCTTATCAGATCAAGGTTAATTTTTGAAAAATGCATCTAAATTACCACCAAGTTTAAAAATTATTTCAAAAGCATTCAAACGGTTCGACTAGCAGCTTCAAAAGTGAGATCGAAAAAACTGCTCAGAGGCGAAACATGCTTTTCGAAAAGCCCCTCAGAAGTTGAAAACTAGTCTAACAAACTTAACTTTAATTTTAAATCTACATTGGCAAGAACTGCTGTTAGTTTTTTTAAACCTCTTCACCTCATAGAAAAACATGAGGTTTCAAGCTAAAAATGGAGCCTTAGCAGTTTTCAAATGAGCACTGTAATAAAACACAAAAATAATTAACTTAACCAGAACACTTTTTAAAAATTCATTCATCTTGCTTAAAATTTACTTTTTTGCCAAAAGACAGTTTTTAGGTTGTAGAGAGCGTAAAGGTATCAAATATTTAGTTAGATATAAGGTACAAACAAAATTCTGGTCGCTACTCAAAATTAAATTCCCATAGAAAGAGGCTCAGTAAAAAGTCAACTATTTGATAATCTTCACAACTAAAAGCGTTCCTTTAACAGGAAAG